CCTGCATTCGCTGCATTAAGCAATATTCCAACTATATGACGGCGGCCTGTAAACAATCGAGTCTGTACCAGACGATCCAGTTATTGACCTAATGAGCATCGACCCACGTCATTTGGATACGATGATATTCATCAAGCAACTAGCCTGACCTGAGATTACAAGGCCTGCACTGTGTCACCAGTGTATATCTGGAGAGATAGTGACGCTGTGAACTATAACAGTTTTGTGCATGTGGTTGCCAGCTGTGTCCTGTGTCATGTCATATTTGGTATTATGATCCCATTAACGTGCGAATGGTCAGCGAGCAGGTACAACTTTTAATCTCCATACATCGATTCAATATCTGCTTCATCTGTAACCTATAGACGAAAGTTTCTTCCCGATATGTGGATAATCATATCGACAAACATGGCTGTAAATCACCATATGATAAATGGGACACTTCACTCAAACACTATATTCATACACGGTTTCTGAAGCTGAGTGAGATCAGGTTGAAAAATTGAACATCATTGATCGAGATTATTGTAAAAATGACATGTCAGGGTAAAAAGATTACCTTCGTGTGATTCCGAATCGTAAAGATCAAATATGAGGAATGTGTTGTATGCTCGTTACAGGGTCGAACAATTCAACTTTTATTCTATAAATTTTGATATTTATGATACGGAAACACACTCATGTATTATCCTCTACAAGCGTTTTGTTGTGTTTGTTGTTGAACGCCGCACTCGGAACTATTCCAGTTATATGACGGCGATCTGTACATTATCGCGTCTGGACCCAACAAGGTTGTGACTGACATCCTGAGCAACGATCTAGGTAATTAGGACACGATGACATGACACAATACGACAAGCATTGATTGCCGAAGACCCATTCTAACCCCGATCTTCATGGGGAACACATATATGCATGTGTTAGCTATACATGTCATTATATACTGGTACAAATCAACTTCTTATACAGGAATTGTTAATGCGAGGTCATTTTTGTGAAAATATTTTGCATAAATGTTACAGCATGACAGATTGCGTTGAACTGACAGGTTGCTGGTGTTGTAGGGTTAACCTGGTACGTTGGATCAACACTGTGGAGTTTTAGGACAAATTGTATAAAATGTTGCAGTGAAGTTAAACGTCCTTTCGTAGATTTACAGACGAAAATACGTCGGCTGCGTTTCTGTTGTAGGCAAGGATATATGCTGTTCACTTTCATTGTGTTACTTCGCGTCTTATACAGAGATACCTTTAGCTGATATGTTACTGTCGAATTAAAATCGTATTAACATTCACTTGATCTTATTTCAGTCGTGCTTCACATAATATTTAAAGATATCTAAGCAAACAGAGAAATATTTGTCATACAGGCTATATCCCGAACTGACTTTGACCTTGTCCACGACGCTGCCAAGTTCACGTGCACAGCGAACTACATTCACTACACTTTAATATCAGTATGGTCATCTCTGAGATGTGCCTGCAATGCTAATCGTCAACAATCTGTGCATCACGAGGTGTCTACGTCTACGTTCACGAATCACGAGAAATAACAATCCGGGAATGGTGACTGTAACAAGCATAAAGTGGAAATTGAATGAGGAGTTCCAAATTATATATTTTCACTGTTTACTTTAGCATGAGGAAATACATTGTATGTGTTTATATCCTGAAACATCAGCAAGCCCTGTTTCCTGATATACGAAGCCCGTCGAAGGCTGACAATGATGAGAGGTTTCAAATTTGTTTGTAAACATAGTAAACACATAAATCAGTCATTCGAACTATTTTGGCTCTTAGTTTTACAAGTCGTCAATTCCTTAACCCGTCTTGATTATCGTGAGTTCGTTTTCGTCAACATATACACTGAGTCTCTTGTGCAGGATTAATACACTGTCACAATTTGTTTTCTCAAACACACTCTTATGAAACGTGTTATAGACCATGGAGTGAGTGAGTGAGTTGGGTTTAACGCCGCTTTTAACAGTATTCCAGTTATATCACGGCGTGTCAGCTTAATGTGGGAGGAAAGCCCGAAGTGATGCAGATCTCCGACGTTTACCACTTCGGTGAAACCCACGAGCACGGGTATGGTGCTGACAAACCTAGAAACATAATCGGGGCGAACCGGGATTCGAACCCACAATCATAGGTTTCTGGCGTGCCCAAGGGACGCAACTCTGCACAGCGAATCGCGGCGCCTTAGACGATTGGGCCACCCGTGCCCCCTATAGACCATGGAAGTGATCATAACCTTGTTATAAATGAAACAAGAGGCATGTGACTTTCTGACTTTAAAAGGGCAACAATACTCCAACTTTCTGATGCGACGTAAACTTTTAACTCACTTACTTAGCAGATTCCAATAAGCAAGTCAAACAAGTCAAGGTTATAGTCCATTATATGGAAACTCTGAATCTGCGAAGAAAGAGCCATCCACTTTTCAATACTTTCAATATTGGAGTGTTGTTCTGCACTAGACAACGTTAGGGCTGAAAGATGAACACAGATATTGGTGAGGTCAGCTGTCACCTATATAATTTGGTGAAGTCCAAATGGTTCTGGATATATTGTTGCTGGTGGCAAAAGGGTTCAGGACATTTAAGATAAGGTTGGGGTGGGTCTGCTTGCATTTTGTCAAGTAATGCAAACACCTCTTTAGTTGTTTTGTTGTAGTTGTGTGTGACGGCACAATGACTTAACCTGTCCCGGACATAATACTAATCTTATACATTAAGCAGGTTCAAAACATAATTCGAACCTGAACAGACAGGTAGATGGCTACTAGGGCAGAGATGAGTCCAAATTTACTACCCAGGTACCTGACTCCCTATTACCTGACCCTACCCAGGTACCCGACCCCCTATTACCTGACCCTACGCAGGTACACTACACCCTGGCCTGACCCGACCAGGGAACCTGCTGTAGGATTCGAGTAGGGTAGAAAATGCCTGATTAGAAATGTTTTACCGGAGCCCTTGCAAAACCCCTTCGATACATGTATATACGAACTGATCATGCATACATTGAAACTGACTGAAGCTTCACCTTTACTCAGATATATAAATGTCAGAAGGAATATGTGGATCGTCAGAAAGAAATAGGAACATAAGTGATTTGTGGTGTAGCAATGGAGTTTTAGTGTTATTGAACATTATATCAAGTGACATATGTTATAGACCCTTTGTTATAAATGAAGCTAGAGGCATGTGACTTTCTGACTTTAAAAGGGCAACAATACTCCAACTTTCTGATGCGACGTTAAATTTAAACTCACTTACTCAGCAGATTCCAATAAGCAAGTCAAACAAGTCAAGATTATAGTCCATTATATAGAAACTCTGAATCTGTGAAGAAAAAGCCACCCACTTTTCAATACTTTCAACATTGAAGTGTTGTCCTTTAAAGTTGACCTGCACAAGATAACGTTAGGGCTGGAAGATGAACACAGATATTGGTGAGGTCAGCTGTCACCTAATTTGGTGAAGTCCAAATGGTTCTGGATATATTGTTGCTGGTGGCAAAAGGGTTCAGGCGTTTAAGAAAAGGTTGGGGTGGGTCTGCTTGCATTTTGGCATGTAATGCAAACACCTATTTAGTTGTTTTGTTGTAGTTGTGTGTGACGGCACAATGACTTAACCTGTCCCAGACGTGCAGTATTTGGGTACATTCCATGACGGATCTGTGCTATAGGGAGAATTACGTAAGAACATGTAAAAAATACAGTGAACAAAAGTTATTATAATTGCATGCACAAATCTTATTGTGTTGCTAGACGTCACATAATTGTTCCAGATTCCTTGACCGTGTGCTTTGTTAGAATATTCTTTAAGATTTTCAACAACGAAGATGTTTTTGTCAAACCTAACACTTTGGTTTTAGTTGTCATGATATGCTCATAATATTTCAGACTCATACATTAAGCAGGTTCAAAACATAATTCGAACTTGAACTGACAGGTAGATGGCTACTAGGGCTGAGATGAGTCCAAATTTACTACCTAGGTACCCGACTCCTTATTGTCTGACCCTACCCAGGTACCCGACCCCCTATTACCTGACCCTACTCAGGTACCCTACATCCTGACCTGACCCGACCAAGGAACCTGCTGTAGGATTCGAGTAGGGTAGAAAATGCCTGATTAGAAATGTTTTACCGGAGCCCTGGCAAAAACTCTTGACATACATGTGTATTGGGGCTGGGATGGATAACTCGGGTACTCGGGTCGGGTGTGTACTGAGTAGGACCCGGGTACCGACAGGACTACCCGGACCCTTGGTTAGTCAAGTGATATATTGTTTAATGACAAAAAATAACTAAAACTGTTTAAACTACAAGTTACTCATTTTTCGCAGTTCTTTCTGACTTTTTCGCCCATTCCGTCTGACCTTTTTATGTCTGAATAAAAGTAAAACTTCAGTCAGCTTCAGTGTATGCATGACCGGGTCGTTTTACACGTGTATCTAAACACATTTTGATTTGTGGAGTAGCTATGGTTTTAAGTGTTATTGAACAATATATCACGTGACTAACCACGGGTCCGGGTAATCTTGTGGGTGCCCAGATACAACCCAGGACCCACCCAACCCAGCCCTAATGGCTAACAACAGAAGTGTACGAGGTGTGATTCTGTTTAGAATTCTTCAAAACTTTTCAGCTGTAAAGAGTAATATCAAGTGTCTCCAGTGTAAAAAAGTACAGCTGACCAGCTTCAGTGGCAGAGAGAAAAGGTATGTCAGTTGATCGTGGCGTCATGGTAACCGATGATGTCACACTGGTCTGCAAAACATTGTGACGCAACTTTAATGTAGCGGTACCTCCTGTTGAATCCAGTTATGGATTAAGAATTGACTTCAATATGGTTTTGCGTTTATGGACGTGTAAGTATATGACAGACAATGGTATGGTGTCCTGTTTTATATCTGTGAAAAATACATTCTGCTCTTGCTGAGTGTAAATGCTATATAAAACGATCCAATGCAAGTAGTTCGCTAGTGGGCTATTTTAGGTTAAATCTAATGCAGCGGACTCACTTGCAATTTATTTATTTCAGAATTTATTTAACAATAGTTATTGTGTAAAGGCATACCATGCGTTTATCTGCGTACAAAACGCAAAGTGTGCATACCACTCTAAGCACATAAACACATTTTACAAGTCAAACAATAACAACTTCAAAGGCTGTCTATTAAGTCATTAACACAAACAAAGAGTAGACGATTCAAAATATGACACTGTACAGCGCAATAGTGCAACACAAGATCTGCCAACTCTATTATCAGCCAGTCATGAAACAAATCCGAGGGTGTGCGTGGCCTAATGTTTGTTCAGTTTATGCAGAGTAAACTAAATCTATTTAGGTCTCTGATTATGGAGCTGACACACAAAAATTTTTTTTTTTTTTTTTAGCCAAACAATAACATGGAATCACTTACAGTTTATGTTTTGACAATTTAACAATGAAATGTACTATACCTACAACACTATTATAATCATTAAAGATATGGACACAATTACACAATTGTAGAAGTGTTCCTCCGTATAATGCAGGAGCTATTTGTTATTAAGTGGCTCACCATAACGTTCCACAAAACAAACTTCATGACATCACAAACATCCTACATGGAACACCCTATCTACTATCTAGTGAAGTGAATACAATCTATGACCACGGTGCAATGGACCACGCACCTTACATGATACTGACTGGAGCTGGGACGAGTCCAAATCTACAGCCCGGGTAACCAACCCGACCCGGGAACCCGCTGATGGTCTCAAGAGTTGGGAACTCGTTAGTGTCATTAAACAATATATCAAGTGGCCATCCATAGGTCCAAGTAGTCATGTGAGCACTTCAATAACAAGTAAACTATATCATATCTACTAAGAACAGAGTGAAGTATTGGTATCTCTTGAGCTGATTGGGATCACGCCACGGGCAGTTCGCCTTCCCGGCCGACACCGTAGTTACTGGAACACAGAGGCGATTAAAGAAAGAGAACCAGGTTGCTAAACACATAATGTGATGTGTAATGCTGTGGACATAATGTCTCATTCACACCCCAATCGGAAGAGTCCATTTTGAGTTGTTATAGTGAATTTAACACCAGTGATAGTGATGAGTAAAATCATGCAATTATTGATATGACCACATGAAGTTCACTTCGTGTATCTGACCTGCCCAACAAACATACAGTGTGTCATGTCTATCTACATACAATCCCCATGGAACACAGCCAATGTCCTGATGATCTGTGACATAATCCCCTGTCATTGTTAGCCGTATCACCTTGGTAGTGCCTGCAACCAGGATGTCTCCTGTTGGAGTAGTTGAAATACCATACGGGAAGAGTTCTCTGTCTCCAGTAGGGGCGTATCTCCACACAACATCCCCCTCTGACGTCAGACATGTCACGGACATCTTCTCAAAGTCAGACACGAGTATGTTGCCCTTGTTGTTGACACACATGTACCAGGGGTAGGCAAACAGTTTCTGCTTGTTGTGTGTTGTAACTGACCTCAGCACGTGTCCCGCCATATCCAGGATATCAACACAGTCAAAAGTACCTGCTGCTAGAGATGAAGGACTCAGAACAGCGAGACTGACGTACCCCTTGCGTGTTGTGATGGTAGAGAGCAGCACCAGGTCAGGGGTCACTTCTACTGTTACAATCTGACGGGAGTCAGGGACAGCAATCTTCACCTGGTTCTCCTTCAACTGTGTTACACAATAGGGAACGTTATCCAGGGGAAGTTTGCTGTGGCATAGTTGATTGTTTCTAGTGTAGACGGATTTCACACACTTGTTGTCCATGTCAGTGACTACAACTGTCTGTATACCATTTACAACCAGGACTGTGACGTCACGTAGAGAAAGCGTCGCTTCATCACCCTCCATCCTCCCATCTATCACGTCAACCAGCAGTGGACATGTGCCCTGATCCTGGTATGTGACGTCAATCTTCCCCAGCTGTAGGTCATCTAGGATGTGCTGGACGTTGTCAGTGTCAGGTGTAAACCTGATGTCATCTATTCTCCGTGTGTCTGCTGTGTCTGTGTCCCTGACATCCCCCAACTCTACAGTCCCCGACTCCCAGGCCTGATACGCGTCATACAGGTCCATCTCACAGTCCGATACCAAGGCCCGGTCAACGAACTCAGAATGTTGTCTGTACATCTGCATCTCAATCTCGTCAAGTTTTACATCTGCTTTAAGTTCCTTAGTTTGTTTGTCTGTAATATGCTTGAATTCATTCATCAGCCTTTTTCCTTTCTGCTTGATATTGGCTATGGCTCTCTCAACAGCAGATTTAATGTGATTTTCTACTGCTATTTTGTTTTTCTCAATTCCGCTAAGTTTCTGGTCTGTTTTCTTAACAATTGTTTCGTTTCTGTGCATTTTCTTTGACAACTGTTTAACATGCCTTCTTAGATGGTATTTCATTGTTGGCAACATTGACTCTATGGTCACGACAGACTCACATTTCCTATGGTAAATAACACAACATGTCTGACACACAGCTTTGTGACAGTCTTTACAGACAAGCTTCATAACTTTATCCTTGTGTTCCCTGCACACGACCTTGCGTCTCCTTTTCACCTTGACCTCTCCTGAAAGGTCACAAATTTCATGGTCATGTGATGCTGGACTTGCACGATGCATCTTTACACATCTCTTGCAGAGTGACACTTGACACTCGGAACACCATGAGGCTCCAGGAGTTGTCTCCCCTAACTTCTCACACAACGAGCAACATGAAGCGGAACCTGTAAGTTGACAAGTCTAAAGTTATTTGACATATCAGGACAATATTTATATAAATTAGAAGATTGAGAATCCAGGTAAAATCACCCCCTCTCACCTATTTTCCAACGCACGTATAGGGCGGTGGGTGTAGGCTTGGAGTTCAAGTGTTGGCTCGTCACGCCCATGGGTTTGATGTGTGAAGCCCTGCATTGGCATGATTGGCAGTGGCGTGAAACTGAACTCATTCACCCAGTTATGTACATGTAGTTTCAACAGGTACAATTACACTTATAAGTGTACAGTTTTGATCACTATTATCATTGGCGATGGGAAGCCAAGAGGTTTAAGTGTTAGCCAGGTTTGATTCCCCACATGAGTAAAATGTGTGAAGCCCATTTCTTGTGTCCCCGCAGTGTTATCTGTGGAACATTGCTGAAGGTCGCAAAAAATACATGCTCACTCACTCACTATTATCAACCTGAAACATCATAAACTGCCATTTGTAGATGTTTTCAAATAATAATATTTTCAAGTGCTTTATGGATAATCTGATTATATTAGTATCATGTAAACCGATAATCACCAGCAGGTCAATTAGCATTGCCAGTGCACATTGTCCCGACGTCAAAATATATTGTAAATATTTCTATGCCGTGATTACAGTTAGAGTCATGTTTGTAACAAATGTATATTTTCAGGAGTCGTTGAGTGGAGTCAATTGGTATCATTGAATATTCTGTTAACATCAATACTGTAATTATACTGCATGGTTAAACAAATAACGAGTACCCTTTCACATGCCTTCATTACAAACATGATTCTTATTACTAGATATCAGTTTGTGAAATGAATGTGTAATTCATAATATAATAAACCAATACCTGTTTTGACAACACCAGCTTGTGTGTCAATCAGTCCCTGTATAATGATGCTGGGTTTGATCTGCCCCGCCCACTCCTCCACTGGCCGGCTTCTGTGGGGGACCTTGGTATCTTGTCGACAGAAGGGACAGGGTATCGTCTTGGACTGTACAGCATCTGGTCTGGTTCGTAGGTATCCTGTGACACATTTCCTGCAGAATGTGTGATCACACCTCAGTGTACAGGGGTCTGTGTACAGTTCCTGGCAGATCACACAAGTGAGGAATTCTGTAACCTTCTCAGCTCGTGACGTCGCCATCTGTAAAACATAAATAACTGTTCACTTTTACAAGAAATAGTTTCAGCTGAAGTTGTTCCGTTTTGTAATGGCGTTACATGTGTTGTGTTGAGACAATAATATTTCTTGAGTGCGACTTTGGGCTTACCTTCCATACCCAGCTGACACGCGATGATATTACTGAAATACTGCATAAAGCAGCATTACACCAAACTCACTCACTCCATCATGAACTTGTGTGCACCACTAAGTTTGCTTTAACGCCATTGTAAATCCATGATTGAGTCGTTAACATATCATTTCTTGTCACAAAAATAACCACATCGACCCTTCCATAGTGCTACAGGAATAACAGATTCTACATATCTTGACTTTATGACATAAAATATGTTCCTACATTATAGCTTTTATGAATTCTGTCATAAGAACAGGGTCGATTATTGTTTCCACACAAGAAAGGATTTACCTTGAATAGATGGACCGAAACTGAATATATGAATGTATTGTGACCATGTGAGATTAGGATTGATGTCAACTTCACTCGTGTAGATGTGGAGGTAAACTGTCGTCATTGTTTGAAATGTGCATTTGTTTTCATATGAAAAGCTAACTTTAAAACAACTACCAATAGGGTCTTGTATTTATGACCTGTAATCTACCTCCGTCAACACCAACCAAGCCTTTATTTACTGATAATGGACACGCCCCCTCACAGTCACAATACAAGGGAGGTAACTGTGAACGTTAGTATTCAGGACCAAGTCAACATATCTTTATTGTGTCATTTTTACACGTCGACGAATGACTTTGTTTACCTGAATGTCAAACATTTGTAAAACCCATAGCAATATAAGAAATTTGAATCAATATACTTTACATTTTTTTATTACCTTGGGGCCAACAATTCCTACTTTCGGTTTCTCTTCGTTTAATGTTTTGTGTGTTTTTAAGTTTAAATTTAAGAAACACTAACCTTATATAAGTTTGATGCTGTCGATGTCCTGAATAAACAGGTATACTAGTTCTTCATGTGCACTGTGTGAGATTTAATTGTACGTCCTGGATGCCTTGAAATACCCAAATCCCGCCGAGGTACACACCTGTGCCTACCTGTCCCTTCCGCATGACATACAAGGGAGGTAACTGCGAAATATCGACTAGTGATGATTCATAAGCGATCAAATCTGATGGCAACGTAGATTCCTGGATCGAATCAAGGATGATTCTTATAACAACGCAAGAGATCGGCACATTTCAATATACACACACGGGACACACTGTAAACAGCATTTTTGTAATATCCTAAGATGTTTTACGCATTCGTATTTGTACAATTATGTGCCAACATGCATGTAATGTGGTTTGCAGCAGAACAAGAAGTAAAAGGTTGGAACAGCTGTTATGTGGCAGGTGTGGTGATCGACATGTCATAAATGTTACAACTAAGTAATATACCACAGATAAAATAGTTTTTCCTGAAACGTAAAGCAAAATCATATCAGTATAACTAAGTAATGTTAACGGGCACACCGTTATGTAATGCAAGTCACTGCAAAAATGAAATAACCTTGCAAGTGATATTGGTCCGTACTTCACCTCATCTCCAGAGCCTAGTGTGTAATTATAGCATTGTACGCTATAATATCGCGGTAGTCAAATTATAATGGATCGTAATGGCACACGCTTACAAACTTATTAAAATTTGTCATACGCAAAATGCTTGTTCTTTGTTCAACTTTTATGACACATCATTTAAGAGTTTGGTAAACAAAGCACCTGTCATTAGCGAATGAAGGGCGGGCAGCTCTATATTACCGAGGTATGGCTATGTTGTGGCGTGATACATGTGGATCATGTGGTTTCACTTCCTTATTTGTATTATGCATAATCGGTATGCATACGACCTACGTTGGGCCAAGGGACTTCGTCCAAACAAATGGATTCTTTCCTAATCAATTAGAATGGAGGCAGGGATATTTCCACTTCAAATACATTCAAGAAACTACCATGAAAAAATTAAAGTGTGTATACATGACATACCACAACGAGTCCTGTATTCGATCATGCGATGAAATTTCGTGCTAAGATTTGCATAAGTAAACTGTCGACATGAGTGTGGATTACGAGATTTACCGATACCGCAATAATATAGAGTCATACCCTGTAATGATACCAGTCACATTCTAATACAATCCTCGTGCTCGCTACCGATTCATAGAGAGGACCAAGATCTGTTTTTAATGAGAGTGTAGTGACACCAGGTGTATGTTGAAAGATTCGCTGCCACATGAATTCCTGACTTGATAACTGAGTTGACCTTATTTCACAGGAGGCTGGGCGGATCACCAAGGGAGGATATCTGGTAGTGACCTTTGACACAACGAGGAAGCAGATGTTGAACCAGGCTGACTGCATGGAGAAGATACCAGTATACAAACTGAAAATACCATTTGGTCCATTTTCTTAGCTATCTATCTATAAGATGCGTAGAAGCTGATATGGCGCTAGGGTTTGTGGATAAATTTTGCTTCTTTGTGTGATGTTTAGTTTCTGCATATTCAAGGGTTTAATAAATTATTCAGCAAATCATATAAATTAAATATTGGAAAATAAATACATATTAATTCCCATGTGGATACTTGGTTAGAACAGAAGGCCACAGTGAAAGAGATTACATGGATCGTGCGGTCATGCTTTTTGACATTCTTGATTGCGTGTCATTGTGACAACATGGTGTGTTGCTCATAATATCCATCACTAGTTTGTGTGACCCAGTCTCTGTCACCAACAGGCCTCTGTGAAAAAGCTGGACATATTGCCGAGGGCAGGGTTAATCATGTAACAAAGAAGCCATAGGGTGTGTGGGTTAGAATTGGTCCCAAATAACCTGTTAGAAATAGGCGACTGCAATGGATCGTTTGACGTGTTGTGTCACCATAACCGGACATCATGGGACATTTGTCTCAATATCAACCACTGGTCTGTCTTGTCCAGACTACCTTATCAATAGGCTCTCAGGATATAGATGGAACAACATACTCAGGTAAATGCAATCATGATTATGTGTGTTTTATTGTGTTTAATGTCACAATCAGAAATATTCCAGCTATTTGATGTGGACTTGTAACTAAGTGATTGATATTGTGAGCAATGACCCACTCCAACAGGGTACATGAAACACAATAACTCAAGTCACAGAGCCTGACCACTCGGTCCCTTTCGTTGCCTTTTACAACCAGCATACGTTACTGAGGACATATTCTAACATGGGATCCATGTTGGGATCAACAATGTCATTTGAATTGCCCAAGTAATGATGAAATATGTAGGACTCAAGCATATATGATTGTTTGTTGACAAATTGTTGTTGAGGGCTGCACTCAACATTATTCAAGCTATGTCTGTAATTATTTGAGTCTGGACCAGACAATCCAGTGATTGACATCCTGAGCATCGATCATGCAAGTCAGTGATCCTGACCACCCGATCCCGTTAGTCGCCTCTTAAGACAAGCATAGTCACCTTTTACAGCAAGCATTGGTTGCTGAAGTCCTTTTCTACCCCTGATCTTCATGGGTACAAACAAATACGAATGGCCCAAGCATTGAACCTATGGAAAGAACATAAAGGTTTCAATTCTGTCTGCATCTAATATTTACGAACTGCTGTAAAAAGCTGGAATTTTGCTAGCTGCTGTGGAATTCAGTATTCACTCAAGCCTATGTGAGTAATTAACTGGACATTTTGACTGGTGCAGAATGGCCAAGGCAAAGCAGGATGTGCTGAGGGAGAAGAAACAACACTCCCTCAAGAAACAACATCGCCAGGCTCCAAGTGTGGGCAGTTCATGGCCCCAGAAGACTGTGTATAAGCATTGTAGAGCGTGTGTGAGAGTGAAGTCCAGTGTGTGGTGGGGGTGAATGCTTGTGATGAATGTCGACAGTCCAAGGACAGCTGCAGGAGATGTTGATTCAGTAAAGGCGGAAGTTGTGTGTCATCAGATGTATCGACCTGTGTCACTTCACCTCAGTCAGTTTGTAATAAAGTGAAGTGCTACATTGTCTGATTTATGAATTTAATATGGGCTGACGTTTGGAATAGAGTGGAGGATTGATGAAAGCTGAATATTTAGTGCAGAGGATTTTGTGCAACGGTTTCACAAACCGGAGCTCTGCCACTGTCACTATTGTTTTTCTCAAGCACGCGACCCAGGATAGGTCTTCAGCAACCCATGCTTGCCGTATGCTTGTTGTAAGAGGCGACTTACAGGATCGGGTGGCCAGGCTCGCTGACTTGATTGATGCATGCCATCGTATCCCAATTCCGAGGATCTATGCTCATGATATCAATCACTGGATTGTCTGGTCCAGACTCGATTGTTTCGGACCACCGTCATATAGCTGGACTATTGATGAATGCCACGTTAAACAACAAACAAAAATATCAAGCGCACACAGACCTCTGAAGTGATCATAACGTTTTTCCAAAGGAAGCCAGAGGCATGGGACTTCTGTTTCAAGGGGAAACAACACTCCAACTCTTAGTCGTCTTCCAGGCGCCGGTTTAATTCGTCTGTTTAATCAACAGATGTAGATGTAGTGCAAAATTCAATCAGTCGAGATTATAGTCAATATGTATATTTTGAATCTGTGAAGAAAGTAATCCATATTTCAATATGCTCTTTAAAGTTGCACCGCACTGAACAGCATTATGGGTCAAAGATGAGTGTAGAGATTATTGAGTCAGCTGTAACCTAATTTGGTGAAGTCCTCCAGATATATTGGGGGAGGTGGGGTAGCCTAGTGGATAATGTGTTTGATTGTCACATTATAAACCTATGTTCGATTCCCCACATGAGTACAGTGTGTGAAGCCCATTTCTGGTGTCCCCCATCATGATATTGCTGAAATATTGCTAAAAGCAGCGTAAAACCATACTCACTCACTCTAGATATATTGTTGGTGGTATGAAAAATATTGGGGCCTTCAAGAAAAGGTTGAAATGCCTCTGCTTGCATTTTCACATGTGATACAAAAAAACTGTGTTCTTACAGTTGTGTTTGACATCAAAATCACGGCACCTGTCGCAGACGTGCAGTATTTGGAGACATTCCATGGAAGGATCTGGGCTATAGGTTGAGTTACTTAAGAACAAGTCAAATAATATCAAGTGACTTCATACACACATTCATTCACCATGTTCCGACTTGTGGTTTTTATACAAGCTAGCACACCACAGTACTTATTACATATTTTTCCTGCCCTGCCCTGCCCTGCCCTGCCCTGCCCTGCCCTGCCCTGCCCTGTCCTGTCCTGTCCTGTCCTGTCCTGTCCTGTCCTGTCCTGTCCTGTCCTGTCCTGTCCTGTCCTGTCCTGTCCTGTCCTGTCTTGTCTTGTCTTGTCTTGTCTTGTCTTGTCTTGTCTTGTCTTGTCTTGTCTTGTCTTGTCTTGTCTTGTCTTGTCTTGTCTTGCTTAATGTGATGTGTAATGATGTGGAAATAATGTCTGTGGGTACACCTTTGTATAAACAATTCACACCACAATCGGAAGAGTCCATTTTGAGTTGTTGTAGTGCATTTAACACCAGTGATACTGATGATTGAAATCATGCAGTGGTTGATGTGACTACATGAAGTTGATTTCGCGTGTCTGACCTCCACCACAAACATAATGCAGTTAATACTGATTATTGAATATATGCAACAGGTGATGTGACTACGTGAAGATGATTTCGTGTATCTGACTTTCTTCACGCACATACAGTGTGTCATGTCTATCTACATACACATACCCATGGATCACAGCCAATGTCCTGATGATCTGTGACATAATCCCCTGTCTCTGTCAGTCGTATCACCTTGTGGCTGTCTGCAAGCAGGATGTCTCCTGTTGGAGTAGTTGAAATACCATGAGGGCTGAGTGCTCTGTCTCCAGTAGGAGCGTATCTCCCAACAACATCCCCCTCTGACGTCACAGACGTCTTCCCCCGGTCAAAAACAAGTATGTTGCCCTTATTGTTGACACACATGTAGTAGGGGGTAGGGAAACAGTGTCTCATTGTTGTGTGTAGCAACTGACCTCAGCAGATGACTGATCATGTCCAGGATATCAACACAGGCGGTAGTACCTGCTGCTAGAGATGAAGGACTCAGAACAGTGAGACTGTAGTATCCCTTGCTTGTTGTGATGGTTGGGAGAGCAGCACCAGGTCAGGGGTCACTTCTATTGTTACAATCTGACGGGATGCAGGCACAGCAACTATCACCTGGTTCTCCTTCAACTGTGTAACACCCCAGGGAAAGTTACCAAGGGAAAGTCTACTTTGACATGGTTGATTGTTTCTAGTGTAGAAAGATGTCACACACCCGTTATTATGCCAGTGACTACAACTGTCTGTATACCATTTACAACCAGGACTGTGAAGTTACGTACAGCAGGCTCAACCCCAACACCCGCCATCTTCCCATCAATCGTGTCAACTAGCACTGGAGACAGCAGACATGTGCCCTGATCCTGGTATGTGACGTCAATCTTCCCCAACTGTAGGTCATCTAGGATGTGCTGGACGTTGTCAGTGTCAGGTGTGAACCTGATGTCATCTATTCTCCGTGTGTCTGCTGTGTCTGTGTCCCTGACATCCCCCAACTCTACAGCCCCCGACTCCCAGGCCTGATAGGCGTCATACAGGTCCATTTCACAGTCCAATACCAAGGCCTGGTCAATGAACTCACAATGTTGTCTGTACATCTGCACATCAATCTCTTCAAGCCTGACATCTGCTTTAAGTTGCTTAGTTTGTTTGTCTGTCATATCCTTGACTTCATTCATCAGCTGTTTTTCTTTATGCTTGATTTGACATTCTTCAGCGTTTATCATTTCATTGTGTCATCGACACAAGGTGCAGGGTATCGTCTTAGACTGTACAGCATCTGGTCTGGTCAGGATGTACTTCGTGACACATTTCCTGCAGAATGTGTGATCACACCTCAGTGTACAGGGGTCTGTGTACAGTTCCTGGCAGTCCACACAAGTGAGGCATTTTCTCACTTTCTCAATCTGGGATGTCGCCATCTGTAAAACAAGAAGTGAGACGTCACATAAATCATTAGTTCGTTGCTCTCTGTAATGGGTCAGTTGTGGTTGGCACATACTGAAAATATGTTGTTGAGAGCCACTTCGGACTTACCTTCCGCATCAAGCTGACATGGTATTACTGAAATACTGTTCAAAGAGGGATAATACCAAACCCATTCACGTGTTGAGTACACCATTTAATATACTGAAACATCTGTTATTCGGTGTCAAACGCGTAGTTTGTCTCTGTCTCTGTTTCTATGCCGAAACAACATCACATGTGAACTACATATCAGTGATCTCTCATATTATCCGACCAGGCAAACCAATTGCTGACATCATGCGCATCGAATCATGTCGCTCTTGTGATAAGCGTTGCTTACTTTACAAACAAGGCGTTTGAGAAACGTGGTGACATTATGAGCATCGAAACACGTCGCCAGGGTGCGATGAGACACATTCTGCCTGGTCGTCACACATTGTAACAAACTGTTCACATTGATTCGCTCTTGTGATAAGCGTGCGACAAACAAGGCGTTTTTGAAACGTGGGTCTGGATCTATATCTTTGTTTATACTTATATTTTAGACTAAACCTTTCTCTCAGTATTCTTGAACTCATTCTCGCCTTAAGTTACTGACTCCGCTACCAGAACAAGCTTGTTGTTTCCAAACAATTAAGGATTTACCTTGCAGAGATGAACTAATAATGAATATATGAATTATTGTGACAATTTGAGGTCAGGTTTAATTAATACCAATTCAACTCGCAGGTATGACATTGTCGACCTTATTCGAAATGCGCACGTTTTTCCTGTCAAATTTGTAAATACTTCCAACAGTCAGTATTAATGAATACATTACGTTAACACCACGCCTTTCTTTACAGTAAATAGAAACGCCCCCTCTTTCACAATACAAGGTAGGTAACTGAACGTTAATATTCGATACCCAGACGACAACATATCAGATGTCTTTATTTTGTCAGTTTTACACACACCTGCGCCAACCTGTCCCTTCCGCATAACCTACAAGCAAGGCAACTGTGAAATCTTGACAAGTGGGCACTCAGAAGCAATCAAAGCTGATTGTCATATCGCAAGATGTTATGCACCGTCGTGTGTGAACATGCATATGTTTGTCAGAACAAGAAGTGACCATGTACCGATTTCACAATTTAGTTCTGTGCGTTCCGATTACTGGGTTATCAAATCAACTCGTGACAATAATATTCCAGAGTGCTGCCCTTCTTAGAAACCCATCATATTGACTTTGTAAAGCAACATTGTATGGAATGTCTGCTGTAATAGTATTGCGTGATGATAACGTGCATGACATTGTCAGTCTTCTAATAAAGTCCATCACAGAATATACATATCAAAATACAGTTCAACGCACAGTCCATGTTTTGGCCTGCTTGTACACAGTCAGATGTATTCACAAGAAAGTGTTCAGTATGATACAGAGAAGGGACTGGGATTGTGTGAGGCCAAAGTCATCAAAGCGGCAGTAAAGAGGTTCCCTGACGACCGATCAAAAGTACAGCGGGATGTGGAAACAGTATCGTGGAGACGGAAATGATTTTATTTCTTTTGCATACTGACATTTGTAGTACGTACTAATGAATCCTGATTCGTTGACGCGAACATGCGTAGAGGGCACAGCGAATACCATGCTCTAATATGAGTCTCTGAAATGATTCTGTAAAGGCTTTTATCATTAAGATTCACTTGTGCTGTTGGGTTATTGCGTTTCGTGGCATTATCCGTACAGTATAAGTGCCTTATCCGTGCATTAATCATGCAATACCCGTATATTATCTGTGCATTATCCATACAATATCCGTGCATTATCCGTACAGTATCCGTGCATTATCCGTATATTACTCGTGCACTTTCCGTGAATTATTAGTACAGTATATGTACATTATCCGTGCATTATCCGCACATAATCCGTACATTATCTGTACATTATCCGTACATTATCAATTCATTATCCGTACAGTATCTGTACACTATCCATACAGTATCCGTACATTATCCGTACAGTATCCGTACATTTTACCGTTTCTGCCTCTACTTTGAGCAGTATTTCTGGTAAATCACGGGGTGCTTTAAGGAGGAAAGCCCAAAGTGATGAATGTTTCCACGGTTTAGTGTCATCACATCTCTGGGTCTCTTCAGCTTCAACTTTTCTCGCCTCCTATTCAGAATGGTGCAGCTTCTCATTGTCACAGTTTGTATAGCGGTGTTTACTTTCGGTTTTTTTATACATCCAGGTGAAGTTTTGCGTTAGGACTGAGACAAAATATGAATTATGATGTATTTATGATTTGGCTGTTGATTTAGTTATTCTATATGTACCTTTTCGACATCCATGTGTATACTTATTTCGACTCAAAATCTTAATATTCACAAAAGTACATAAATTGGTTTCACTTGAATTAGTTTGTGTCTTGATGGACGTCAATGCGCCCAGTGGTAAGTAACAATGTGAACGCGTTCCAACAGACAGCCATTTACATTTTCAACTTATGCCATGTACCAACACTCTGGTAATGGAGGGTGAGTGAGTTTGTTTCAACGCTGAATTTCAGTTTCATCATGGCGTGTAAGCTGGAAAGAAGTGGATTAAACTGTACACGTAGTTAGTTAAGCCTTATTGTCACAATTCTCTCCTTACTCCTTTACATCACTTTCAAGTTTTAAAGGAATGTGACGACCAAAGGCAAACAAATGCCCATCCTAACCAGTATAACATGCCTTACGTATCGTATCATATTTTGAGGAACATTGTGAATGCATGTTTTTCTTTTTCTGGGAGAAGGGTTGTCAGTGTTAGATCAGGTAATCGACAGCGTTTCCGTTGGGAATATTCAGTTAAACCTGCATCGAATTATCGAGTTAATGCATGTTGAGGTTAGTTGGTGTCCTTGTACTATAACTAAAGACTGTTCTGTACAACTTAACCTGAATTATCACATGAAGCAACAGACACTCCTAAATCTTACTAGTCTTGATTCGCCTCCACTGGATACCGGCCTCGGTAAGGATCGAACATAAGATCCTGAGTATCGCCTACCTATGTACGAAAGGCTCCGCTCCATCATACCTTTTGAGCTTAGTAAGGGAATATGTACCATCTAGATACCCCAGATCGACCAGCGTCTCAATGCTCACCATACCACGAACATATGACCACAGACGCTGTTCCTCCACATTTGCTTCCCATTGGAACAATCTACCTCTCACCATCAAATAATACTTGTTCAATCAACCTACTTATTTTTGTAAGTATTGTTTTTGAACACCATAACACCATTTTAGCCTTATTGGCTCACAGTTTAATCGTATGTAACAACAAATATAACTGTATGCATTTTCCTCATATCGAATTAGTAACTGGATTCCGAACACATATCAATTTCTGTATTAATTTCCTTTTTGGATTTTCCTCTGGATTGTGAACAACAAGTCTTCTCCCTTTCTCGACATATGTAATATCGATGTTGGAAGGATGTACGTTGAAGTTACTGTAAGTTTCAAAATAAATATTTATATTCAAATTAGTTCTTTTCTGTAAGAGTGAATTGGGTTTAGTTTGTCTTTCTCAGAGGCAGGTTGACTGTAGTAAGACAGTGAGAGTGAAGCCCCGTTAATCGAGGTGTCACTATCTGCGCCGGCGGGGACGGGATTAGCAATGAATCTACACAATTGTAACCATTTACTTTCAAAACATGGACATCTGGACATTTTGAATCACAGCCACTGAGGTGAGGTGAAATGGTGTTTGACGTCGCGTCCAAGATTATTGCACTCATGCAGCGACGTGAGTGTGTGTGTGTGTGTGTGTGCGTGTGTGTTGTGTTGTGTTGTGCTGTGTTGTGTTGTGTTGTGTTGTGTGTGTGTTGTGTGTGTGTTGTGTGTGTGTTGTGTGTGTGAGACTATTTGCACCAGTGCAGACTGATGCCGAATTATAGTGCAGGCACACTGATATACCATGCTGCAGTTTAACATGAATACTCACACAATATACTGACTCCGAGCCGACCAATCCTTAGTTTTAGCTCCTTAATGCCGAGCACCAGGCAGGGTAACAACAAGAACCATATTTTACCGTCATTTGGTATGACGCGCCCGGGGATCGAATCCCAGACGATCCAGCACCAGACCACAGAGGCGGTCACATAGCCACTGAGCACGACATCAACAAAGAGTCTTTTTCTTGATATTCTCTGTGTAATGTAATGTCTATATGTGTAATGTTTGCAAATGCCAAGTGACCAGAATACTGTGGTAAAATCCTAGCACAGAGAAACATATCACCATAACAACTACGGCTATACATGTAGGTTGTCTGCCGCTCCTAAGTCGAGGGTTGTGCCCTGTGTCAACAGTTTATATCTGGTGAGATAGTGACGCTGTTGCCCATAACAGTATTGTGCATGTGGCTACCAGCTGTGTCCTGTGTCAGCAATGTAAATCTGGCGAGATAGTGACGCTGTGGCCTATAACAGTATTGTGCATGTTGCTACCAGCTGTGTCCTGTGTCATCAGTTTATATCTGGAGAGATAGTGACGCTGTCGACTATAACAGTATTGTACATGTGGCGGCCAACAGTGTCCTGTGTCAACAATTTTAATCTGGTGAGAGAGTGACGCTGTGGCCTATAACAGAATTGTGCAGGTTGCTACCAGCTGTGCCCTGTGTCACCAGTTTATATCTGGTGAGAGAGTGACGCTGTGGCCTAATGATATTTTTTGTGCATGTTGCTACCAGCTGTGTCCTGTTTCACCAGTTCATATCTGGTTAGACAGTGACGCTGTGGCCTAATAATATTTTTTGTGCATGTGACTGCCAGCTGTGTCCTGCATGCAAAAGGATTAAGATCGCCTTCCGTGAGACCCATTGTGCTGGACGAAGGTTTGATGGTGGCTGAATATGAAACAAACAAGAAGTGGTTATTCGATCTTGTTGTTTTTGATACGGTTATCAAAATCGATATTACATGCTTCCCTTTAATGAGTACCTCACAACAGGTGAGGTGCACATTCGCAATTTCAGAGTGAAGCAGGTATTGCCATGATAAGTTTGCATAATCACAGATTGGTTACTTTGATAATGGGATCGGACGTTACATCCCAGACCCCCAGGCCTCATTCGCGTCCTACGGGATCATCGTAAATCTGATACAAAGGTCAGTTGAAACAAGATCATCAGGCCAGTCACATACAAAGGTCAATGGAGACAGGATTACCAGGCCAGTCACATACAAAGGTCAATGGAGACAGGACCACCAGGCCAGTCACACACAAAGGTCAATGGAGACAGGATCACAAGGCCAGTCACATACAAAGGTCAATGGAGACAGGATCACCAGGCCAGTCACATACAAAGGTCAATGGAGACAGGATCACCAGGCAAGTCACATACAAAGGTCAATGGAGACAGGATTACCAGGTCAGTCACATACAAAGTTCAATGGAGACAGGATCACCAGGCCAGTCACATACAAAGGTCAATGGAGACAGGATCACCAGGCCAGTCATATACAAAGGTCAATGGAGACAGGATCACCAGGCCAGTCACATACTACAAAGGTCAATGGAGACAGGATCACCAGGCCAGTCACATACAAAGGTCAATGGAGACAGGATCACCAGGCCAGTCACATACAAAGGTCAATGGAGACAGGATCACCAGGCCAGTCACATACAAAGGTCAATGGAGACAGGATCACCAGGCCAGTCACATACAAAGGTCAATGGAAACAGGATCACAGCACAGTCCGCTACTAAAATCTTTTCATACAGAGATCAGTAGAGACAGCATCACTGAAAAGTCTGATACAGAATCTGATACAATTGAGATAGGATCACTGTACAGTTTCATTGAAAAACCCTTTCATACAAGATTGTTGTACAGTCCGATAATACGGCATTGTCTTACAGGATCATCATAGTCCGGTACAAAGGTAAGGTCATACAAAATTGTTGTACAGTCCGATACAAAGGTCAGATGAGACAGTGTCATCATCACAGTCTGATACAGAGACCAGTTGAGAAAGGATCCCTGTACAGTCTGATTAAAAAATATTTTCATAGAGGATTATCGTACTGTCTGATAATAAGGCATTGTCATTCAGGATCATCATACAGTCCAGTTCAAAGGTCAGGTCATAAAGGATCACCGTACAGTCAAGTGCAAAGGTCTGACCATACAGGATCGTAATACAGTTAGGTGGATATGCTTTCCTGAGGCAAAAGTAACACCATCGGCAGACGTCAAAGTGTGAGAGTATAGTCCATTGTGTGATGGAGGTGAAGGTTTGTAGAGAATGTGGACATGCCAAGGTCAGCTGCGAAAGGTGGAGAACTGTGATCGATGTAGCTTTTAGTGAAAGAATGTCGCCTCATCAGTTTGATGATAAAATATTTGAAAAAATATAGCCACACGTTAATTTGGGAATTACATTGTGGAAAACTTTCAAATTGAACGGAGGATAGATGAAAAAAAATACGTAGTGTAAAAGTATTTGTGAAATGTATATGAATATTTTTTGTGGTTGTAACTGTTGTACTTGGATACATGACATAGACAGGATGTGTGCTACATGGAGAATTAATCAGGAATAATCACATGACATTACACATATTTATTCCTCATATTCAACTTTTTGGAATGTCGAGTTTATGGTTTAGTGTTGTCGTCATCTGTTCGCCTAGCCTCAAGGGAGGATGTCTAGCACAATTACACTTTTGAAAATCTTCAAAGAATAGTTTTTTTTCTGAAAGCAGACAATCTGACGGAACCGGAAACATTGACATGATGTCTACCTATTCAAACAGAATCAGATTTGTTCATAATATGCAAGTAAAATAGGAAAATATTTTTTTTCAAAATAGCTTCAAAGTCCGAAAATGTGTAAGGATGTTCGCAAAACAACTGGTGTGTTTATGAAGGCCCAGAACACGACTTGATTTCTTCATGTTATGGAACTGACATTTTATCCAATTGTGGAAAATGTTATTAGTTATTTCGAAAAGAGAAGATGGTGCACATATTCATCACAATAGTATACTCGATGTTGTGATGCATAATACATTCGATTTCTTATCCAGTGCAAAGAACGATGAAATACTATTCAAGAAGTAGGTAAGTAATAAAAAATGTGAACAAGGGTAAGCATTCTAACGAAATATCAAGAAATGCACAGCACATTCAAGTCCACACTTCAAACAAATTTATACATTGGATAAACAACAGTATTAAGATATGAATATTGGGCACATTTCCTATGCAGTCTCACCTTTAAATAAAAACAGAGTTTCTTATTTAAAAGCAATCACATATTGTGACATATATATAGTACCTGTATACAATGAAACATATACTGGGGATAAACACAATATAGCCATTATTTATAAATATATCTAAGTACAAACCAAATGTCAAGACAATTACACAAACTACCTTAACTGCCCATCATGTTTGTTATTGACAGTGTTATTTTATGATGAAATAATCGACTTAAGACATGACATTTCGAAGGATCGGTTTTCTTGTGTATTTAATCATCCTACAACAAAAAAAACAACATGTCTTCCAAATTGAAATCATTTGTTTTAACCAAGCGATACCGATGAATTCAATCATTGATGTGACTACATGAACTTGATTTTGCGTATCTGACTTTCACCACACACATACAGTGTGTCATGCCTATCTACATGTATCGCGCAAAAAACACAATGTGCGGCCTGTGACGTGGCAACATCTCCGACATACTCCGCTGAATCTGTCAGCTGTATCATCTTCTTGGCTTTCATGTCTGCAAGCAAGATGTCTCCTGTGCTGGTAGTTGTGATACCAGCAGGCATACTGAGAGCTCTGTCTCCGGTAGGGGCGTATCTCCACACAACACCCCCCTCTGGCGTCACACATGTCACAGACTTCTTCTCACAGTCAGACACGAGTATGTTGCCCTTGTTGTTGACACACATGTTGTAGGGCATAGCAAACAATGCATCCTTGTTGTGTGTGGTGACTGACCTCAGCACGTGTCCCGCCATGTCCAGGATATCGACACAGTCATCAGTACCTGCTGCGAGAGATGAAGGACCCAGAACAGCGAGACTTATGTACGTTTTGCTTGTTGTTATAGTCGACACGAGCTTCAGGTCTGGGGTCACTTCAACTGTGACAATCTCACGGGACGCAGCAACAGAAACCAGCACCTGGTTCTCCTTCAACCGTGTTACACCACATAGCAGTTCACCCAGGGGGAGTTTACTATGACATGGCTTCTTTTTTCTGGTGTAGAAAGATTTCAATGAATTGTTCCCCATGTCACTGACTACAATTGTTTGTATACCGTCTACAAATAGAACTGTGATGTCCTGTAGATCCGGTTTCCCCTCATCACTCGCCATCCTTCCATCTATCATGTCCACCCGCACTGGAGACGGCAGACATGTACTTTGATCCTGGCGTGTGACGTCAATCTTCCCCAACTGAAGCTCATTCAGGATGTACTGGATATTGTCCATGTCAGGCATAAACCTGATGCCATCTATTTCCTGTTTGTCTACTGTGTCTGTGTCCCTGAAATCCCCCAACTCCACAACCCTCGACTCCCAGGCCTGATACGCATCATACAGGTCCTTCTCACAGTCCGATACCAAGGCCTGGTCAATGAACTCACAATGTTGTTTGGACATCTGCATCTCAATCTCTTCAGATTTAACAACTGCTTTAAGTTGCTTAGTTTGTTTGTCTGAAATATCCCTGACTTTATTTATCAGTTGGTTTTCTTTCTGCTTGATGTTGGCGATGACTCTCTCAACAACAGATTTGATGTGACTTTCTGCTGCTACTTTGTTTTTCTCAATTCCGCTAACCTTCTTGTTTGTTTTCTGAACAATTGTTTGTTTCCTATGTATATTCTTTGACAATACATTAGCCTTCTCTCTCAAATCGTGGGTCATGGTTGGCAACATTGACTCTAAGGTAACGACAGACTCACATTGCCTGTGGTAAATAACACAACATGTCTGACACACGGCTTTGTGGCAGTCTTTACAGACAAGCTTTATAACTTCATCCTTGTGTTCCCTGCACATGACCTTACGCCTCCTCTTCACCTTCACCTTCCCGGAAAGGTCACAGATCTCATGGCCATGTGATGCAGGATTTGCACGATGCATCTTGACACATCTCTCGCAGAGAGACACTTTACAATTGGAACACCATGAGGCTCCCGGAGTTGTCTCCCCTAACTTCTCACACACTGAGCAACATGAAGCGGAACCTGTAAGTGGACATGTCTGTAGTTATTTGACAGATCATAATATTTGTTTTATAAATCAAAAGTTTAAAACTCGAAGAAAGATAATGCCCTTATCTATTTTCAAGTAAGTTGAAGCAGGTGGGTTAGGGTGGGAGATTAAGTGCTGGTCCATCACGCTGAAGACTCGGGTTGGAGCCGAATTCTTGCCACGATGCATGCTAATAGTGGCGTAATACTTAACTCACTCACTCACCTAACAGGTACATTTACACTTTACAAGCGTGAAGTACTGATCAATATTATCTATTTGTAACATTCTATAATTACCCTTTACAGACAGTGTCATTTGTAGACCTTTTTAGACAATTTGTTTTCCAGTGCATTATGGGTCACCTTAATATATATTTATATACATTATGGTAGCGTCAAGTTCGCCGCCAATAATCAACATGGCAATAAGTAGTTGCATGGCCAGTGCACACTGACCTTAAGAAAATACACATTGCATCTTTGTTCCTAAGACTTGTTTACAGTTTACAGAGGCATGCTTTTGACAAATTCGTTTTATAGATAATGTATATTTTCTGGTGTTGTTTAGTTGTTATCCTTGGAACAGTCTGTTGCTGTTATGATATCATTATACTATACTTAAAAAACAAGCAACATTTAATCTTACAATGCCATAAAAATATTTTTATTACAAGATGTATGTTTGCAAAATTCATACAAAAAAACAAAACTAATACCTGTTTTGACAACGTCAGCTTGTGTGTCAATCAGCCCCTGTATAATAATGCTGGGTTTGATCTGCCCCGCCCACTCCTCCACAGGCCTGCTGGGGCTGGGGACCTTGGTATCTTGTCGACAGAAGGCACAGGGGATCGTCTTGGACTGTATAGCATCTGGTCTGGTTTTGATGTATCCTGTGACACATTTCCTGCAGAATGTGTGATCACATCTCAGTGTACAGGGGTCTGTGTACAGTTCCTGGCAGATCACACAAGTGAGGAACTCCGTCACTTTCTCAGCCCGCGACGTCGCCATCTGCAGTAACCTAGAGAATTGTAATGTTTGTAGAATCAAATTGCAGTGTAACATATTAGCATAGTGATTACTGCTATATGTAGGATAGCTCCATCAGACGGGTAACCCACTGATTTAAGCACTTGTTTGCCTTGCCAAAGTACTGGATTCGTTTCCTCACTTTAATACTGCATGTGTTCTCCCGTTTCATATCAATGCCCTTCAGCAAGCCTACAGTGATAACACCACAGCACGCCATTTGGGGGAGAGATTTTAGTCCCATATCGTCACCTCTTTCGACCAGTAAATACTTCCTCCCAACATTTACTGAAACTATTTTGTTTTGCTACTTTGTCTTTGCACCAGTTTCATCTGTTACCAGACTTAAAGACGTCATACGTCGGTAACAAGTTTGAACGGTTGAATGAAGCGCTCCACCAATGGCTGACAAACATGGTTGCAAATCAGTATGATAAATGGGATAGTTCACTCAAACACCATATTTATACGCGGACTGTAAAGTTGAGCGAGGTTAGTTTGAAATGTTGAGCATCATTGATCGAAATTAGGTCTGAAACATCGATTATTGTAAGAATGAAATATAAGGGTAAGAGATTACCTTCGTGTGATTCCGAATCATAAATATCAAATATGACGAATGCATAATACATGTATGTAGTATTCTCGCCAGAAGATCGCACAATGCAATGTTGATTTCATATATATGGTATTTGTGACACGGAAACACACTCAGTTATTACTCTCTATTTCACAAGTACAGCTTGCATAATCAAGAGATGGCATTTGGTTTTGTTGTTCTGCAACACCACACTCAGCAATTTTACAGCTATTTGATGGCAGTCTGTAAATAAGGAAGTCAGATAACCTACTGATCTATGATCTTTGCGATTGGGATACCATAACATGCATCAACCAAGTCCGCGTGCCTCCTGTTAGTCGCCTCTACAATATTGTTAATACTTGTTAATACGCGAAATACGGTAGAGAGGGCTTGAGTATCAGGGTCTGGTTGTGAAATGGACGTTTCATATTCACATAACGCCAACACCTTTCGTCGATATAAAGCTATGGTAATGAAAGTTTAAAATATACGCTTGAAATTACCTTGATAGTTGGACATAATTGTACTATGGGTGAAGCATTTTTAGGTCAAGAGCCCATAAAAAAACAAAAGTACAACTGCAGTTATGTGCACAGGGTACACAGTAGGCCCAGACAACTATCTAGCTACCATATCGCCTCATCCAGTCATGGCATAAAATCAGTTTGTCAACTGAGGACTGCGGATCGACCATTGAGAAAATGTCTTACGGCGCACTTATACGTCTTGGATTGGCTGTGAATAATAGAATATGTTTAAAATATCTATACCAATCTCTTCCATAATCATTAACCTCCCCCAAAATACTTTGGCTGGCCCAACGAAATCTCAACTGGTTTATGTTTTTTCACCTGGAATCCTTACGTCTTGATCTAAAATACAAGGTTTATAATAGACAGACCTTGAATACATTGGAAGATTCCAGCTTGACGCAAGTGTACACATTTATGTGAGACAAAAACTATTCAATTTCAGATATTTTCCATGTCAAATGATGTACCATCAAATGTAATCGTGTAATATTCGTAATATTAACTGATGTTGAAAGTGTAAAGTAATCGTGTACATATGTATATATTTATACCATGTTATGTCCAGTACAAACACTAAACCTACCTCTGAGTTGTCCCCTGTCCTGTGTTTGTGTGATATCTTTCTAGTCACAAGATCAGTATACGCCCACACCATGTGATCTGCCTGTGTAAATCAGATTAGTAATGTTATCTTTGACACTGGTCTTCACAAGATAAACAAATCAGATAGACAGTGCAGACTCGTTTGTAAGAAGAGTGGTGTGTCTCTGAAGCATATTTGTTGGAAGAAGTGAACGTTTGGAGCCAAATTGTCATAGTAAAGACACCGTGTTTTTGCTCCTCCATACACGATGCACGATGCAAATCTTTCCACTGAGTCTTCTGGTAGGGTTAACCTGGTATGTGGGATCAACATCGTGGAATAGTTGGGTGATATTTAAGGATTTTGAGGACAAATTGTATAAAATCGTGAAGCAAACTTAATCGTCCTTTCGTAGATTAAAAAGCGAACATGCCGTTCGCCAATCACGCGGCAAACAACCATCTTGGAATAGTGACTGGCACAAGCGTGAATTGGAAATTGAATTTTGGGTGCCGATGGCTATATTATCACTGTTACTTTAGCACGGGACAAAATATATGTTGTAATAAAGTGTAACATCGGCGAGGCTTGTTTCCTGATTGACGAAGTCTGTTGAAGGTTGACCTTGACGTGAGTTTCAAAGTTGTAGACCAGTTCATTTGTCATTCGTACTGTTTTGGCTCTTGTTTTAACATGTCGTCACTTCCTTAACCCGTATTGATTATCATGAATGAGTTTTCGTCATCATATTCAGATAGTCTATTGTTAAAAATACCACAGTAGAGTTTATATGACACACTTGCAAAACTAACACCACAGTAAGAAAACGTTTCTCTGACGTGAGAACTGGACAGGACTTGGACCAACTAGAGGGTACATACCAGTCTCCAGTCAGAATAACCTGTGAAGGTATCCAATACAACCGTTATGTTTAAAACATCAACTGATATATTATCACATCCAGGCCAAATTCAACTTGTGCGTGACGTGTCTCACTTCTTCCAGAGTTATTGAGGTATTAAAGTCTATCTACGTTGTCCTATATAATCACTGATTGTTTGTGAGAATAATCGTGGATTGGAATAGTTTACATCCCTCCTTCAGGCCAACTACTGGCAACACAGCGCTCTCCCCCTACCTGAACATTAACAACAGATCTACAGATACAGAACATAACAGAACAGGCTATGAACAGAGCATAAGGAGGAGTTTTCATGGCGGCAATATATCAAAGAATCTGGCGACAGAAATGAGACATTATATGTATGTATGTATGTATGTATGTATGTATGTATGTATGTATGTATGTATGTATGTATGTATATGTGTGTGTGTGTGTGTGTGTGTGTGTGTGTGTGTGTGTGTGTGTGTGTGTGTGTGTGTGTGTGTGTGTGTGTGTGTGTGTGTGTGTGTGTGTGTGTGTGTGTGTGTGTGTGTGTGTGTGTGTGTGTGTGTGTGTTATTCATGTCTGGGAGACCATAGGCTCATGTACATTTCAGTTATATATAGTAACACACAACTGAGGCAAATTACATTGAGAATAATACAAAGGATACAATGTTAGGTCTTTGTACGTAATAATAGAGCTTCCTTCACATACGTAATTATATTTCTGAGTGTACAGCCATTTTGGCTATTTTAGAGATTGCTAAAAGTATTAATACATTGATTGTTATAGAATCTTACATGAATATACTTTTGTCTTTATGATGCGTAAAACGGGCAGACAAACACAAAATTGGCTTCGTCCTCAATACAACCATTGTTAAATAGCTGACAAAAGCGTTGTGAATAAACAATAACCTCTCTTCTGCCCAGATTACTCCGCAAAGGCAATTCACTTAATCTCAAAAGGCACAGCATACGTCTATGGTCTCTATTTCTGAAAGCTGTAACATAATATTCCATATCCAATAATATTTTGACGTGTGAATAATACCTTAATTTACAAGACTCATAAATTTTCATAAGTATGCTGTTTTTTACAATCCAACAAACGCTGTCTAAACAGCTGCAAGAATCAATTAACATCACCAATATTCTGTTCGTGCTACACATAACCAAATCCATAAATGTCGAGTTAATATTTAACATTAGTTTTCCGAGAAGATATGTTTCTACATTTAAATAACGTGGTCATTTTGAAAATTATGGTCGATAAATGTAATAAGGAGATAATAACCTTCTTGTTTAATTTAAATACACACAAGTAAATACCTAATGATATTACATATGCAGTATCATTTGATAGACATAGTAAACATTTTCTTTCCAAAAGAGAAATGTTCTGTCATCTTCGCGTTTCATCAGGTCGGCAGTGACAAGAAAGTCTGACATGATCATGAACGGAACTAGTTTTACATTTATTAGATAAATTGTGTGGATAAAATTTAATGTAAGTATTTTGTTTAATTGTCTTATAGAATCTGCTTGTACTTTCTCGGCCAGATTTCATTTTTGAATATATAGATTTGAAACAGTATATTTCTTTATTTTATGGGGGCGGTCAGGTAGCCTAGTGGTTAAAGCGTTCGCTGGTCACGCCGAAGACCCGGGTTCCATTCTTGACATGGGTACAATGTGTGAAGCCCATTTCTGGTGTCCCCCGCCGTGATATTGCTGAAATATTGGTAAAGGCGGCGTAAAACCATACTCCCTCACTCCCTCACTACAGCGACATTAAAGCCTGTCTTGCCTCTGATGCTATCGTGTGTAATGCTACAAGTTTATGTCTTTCTGGTCACATGCACATTTCGCAGTTTACGTGGCATGCTCAAATCACTGAAGAATATTTGACATGTTATCAAGAGCCATACTAAACCAAGCTGTCCATCACAGAATGATGACATGAATAACATAACTATGGCCATTACTGCCAGCAGTCCTAAAAAGAGTTTATTAGATGCAGAAGTGGCTGGGCATAGTGGACTCAGGGAATTCAACATTGGGATGCGAGACGCCCAAGATTACTTCAACCGCTATGAATATGTCTGATTGTAATAAATGAATCGGAAACCGAAGCAAATGCATAAAACAAACATTGGAATAAAGCAAAAAAGCAGCAACAGTATTGTTTCAGGATACTGCCTAAGTGAATTCCAGTGATGGTCTTTCAACAAGGGTCATTGTTCAATGATTTGTCTTCATTGTGGCAGGGGCGGTCGGGTAGCCGAGTGGTAAAAGCGTTTGCTCGTCACGCGGAAGATCCGGATTCGATTCCCCAAATGGGTACAATGAGTGAAACCCATTTCTGGTTTCCCCCGACGTGATATTGCTTGAATATTGCTAAAAGCGGCGTAAAACTATGCTCACTCACTCACTCATTGTGGCAAGTTTTCAAAGTTTGTTGTTTAGTCACATCAAAACAATTGGAATGTTTTCAATCTTGTCTTGTGTTATTATTTAATTTCTTAAATAATGTATTCTTTGTAAACCTAAATCAATGTGGCTCCTTAAATTTTAATGTGGCTCCTTAAAGTTTGAAATTGTGGTGTGATATTGCACATGATATTGCTAGAATATTGCTAAAAGCGGCGTAAACCCATACTCACTCACTCACCCACTCACTCACTCACTCAATAGTTGAACTCATTATCTAATAACTTACTGGCTCTGCTGTTAAAAACAAGGTTGTTGTTTCCACACAATTAAGGTTTTGCCATGTAGAGATGAACTAATACTAAATACATGACTTATTGTGACAATGTGAGGTGAGGCTTGATTAATGCCAATAAAGCTCACAAAGGTGTGACATTGTCGTCATTATTTGAAATGCACACGTGTTTCCTATTGTAACAATATCCAGTGTGGGCAGAGGCTGTGTAGACAGATTGTCTTATTGTGATCATCAGAAGAAACAGTGGCCTACAACAGTATTGTGCATGTGTCTGCCAGCTGTGTCCTGTGTTACCAGTTTATATCTGGAGAGATAGTGACGCTGTGGCCTATAACAGTATTGTGCATGTGGCTGCCAGCTGTGTCCTGTGTCACCAGTTTATATCTGGAGAGATAGTGACGCTGTGGCCTATAACAGTATCGTGCATGTGGTTGCCATCTGTGTCCTGTGTCACCAGTTTATATCTGGAGAGATAGTGACGCTGTGGCCTACAACAGTATTGTGCATGTGGCTGCCAGCTGTGTCCTGTGTCACTGGTTTATATCTGGAGAGAGATAGTGACGCTGTTGCCTATAACAGTATTGTGCATGTGGCTGTCAGCTCTGCCCTGTGTCACCAGTTTACACCTGGAGAGAGATAGTGACGCTGTTGCCTATAACAGTATTTTGCATGTGGTTGCCAGCTGTGTCCTGTGTCACCAGTTTATATCTGGAGAGAGATAGTGACGCTGTGGCCTACAACAGTATTGTGCATGTGGCTGCCAGCTGTGTCCTGTGTCACCAGTTTATATCTGGAGAGAGATAGTGACGCTGTGGCCTACAACAGTATTGTGCATGTGGCTGCCAGCTGTGTCCTGTGTCACCAGTTTATATCTGGAGAGAGATAGTGACGCTGTGGCCTACAACAGTATTGTGCATGTGGCTGCCAGCTGTGTCCTGTGTCACCAGTTTATATCTGGAGAGAGGGACGCTGTGGCCTATAACAGTATTGTGCATGTGGCTGCCAGCTGTGTCACCAGTTTATATCTGGAGAGAGATCGTGACGCTGTGGCCTATAACAGTATTGTGCATGTGGCTGCCAGCTGTGTCACCAGTTTATATCTGAAGAGAGGGACGCTGTGGCCTATAACAGTATTGTGCATGTGGTTGCCAGCTGTGTCCTGTGTCACCACTTTATATCTGGAGAGAGATAGTGACGCTGTGGCCTATAACAGTATTGTGCATGTGGCTGCCAGCTGTGTCCTGTGTCACAAGTTTATATCTGGAGAGAGATAGTGACGCTGTGGCCTACAACAGTATTGTGCATGTGGCTGCCAGCTGTGTCCTGTGTCACAAGTTTATATCTAGAGAGAGGGACGCTGTGGCCTATAACAGTATTGTGCATGTGGCTGCCAGCTGTGTCACCAGTTTATATCTGGAGAGAGATATTGACGCTGTGGCCTATAACAGTATTGTGCATGTGGTTGCCAGCTGTGTCACCAGTTTATATCTGGAGAGAGGGACGCTGTGGCCTATAACAGTATTGTGCATGTGGCTGCCAGCTCTGTCCTGTGTCACCAGTTTATATCTGGAGAGATAGTGACGCTGTAGCCTATAACAGTATTGTGCATGTGGCTGCCAGCTGTGTCCTGTGTCACCAGTTTATATCTGGAGATAGTGACGCTGTGGCCTATAACAGTATTGTGCATGTGGCTGCCAGCTGTGTCCTGTGTCACCAGTTTATATCTGGAGACAGGGACGCTGTTGCCTATAACAGTATTGTGCATGTGGCTGCCAGCTGTGTCCTGTGTTACCAGTTTATATCTGGAGAGATAGTGACGCTGTGGCCTATAACAGTATTGTGCATGTGGCTGTCAGCTGTGTCCTGTGTCCCCACTTTATATCTGGAGAGAGATAGTGACGCTGTGGCCTACAACAGTATTGTGCATGTGGCTGCCAGCTGTGTCCTGTGTCACCAGTTTATATCTAGAGAGAGGGACGCTGTTGTCTATAACAGTATTGTGCATGTGGCTGCCAGCTGTGTCACCAGTTTATATCTGGAGAGAGATCGTGACGCTGTGGCCTATAACAGTATTGTGCATGTGGCTGCCAGCTGTGTCACCAGTTTATATCTGGAGAGAGGGACGCTGTGGCCTATAACAGTATTGTGCATGTGGCTGCCAGCTCTGTCCTGTGTCACCAGTTTATATCTGGAGAGATACTGACGCTGTAGCCTATAACAGTATTGTGCATGTGGCTGCCAGATGTGTCCTGTGTCACCAGTTTATATCTGGAGATAGTGACGCTGTGGCCTACAACAGTATTGTGCATGTGGCTGCCAGCTGTGTCCTGTGTCACCAGTTTATATCTGGAGACAGGGACGCTGTTGCCTATAACAGTATTGTGCATGTGGCTGCCAGCTGTGTCCTGCATGCACCACCTGTCACATGGCTGTAAAACAATACATGATAAATGGGACACTTCACTCAAACACTTTATTCATACGCGGTTTCTGAAGTTGAGTGAGATCAGGTTGAACATCACTGATCGAGATTATTAGAAGAATGAAGATAACCCTCATGTGATTCCGAATCGTAAATATGAAATATGAGGAATGCACGGTGTGTTGTATGCTCGTTACAGGGTCGAACAATTCTATATTTATTGTATAAATTATGATATTTATGATACGGAAACACAATCATGTATTATTCTCTACATGTGTTTTGTTGTGTTTGTTGTTTAACGCCACACTCAGAACTGTTCCAGTTATATGACGGCGATCTGTAAATTATCGCGTCTGGACCAAACAAGGTTGTGACATCAGGAGCATCGATCTAGGTAATTATGACACGATGACATGACACAGTACGACAAGCATTGATTGCCCATTCTAACCCGGATCTTCATGGGGAACACAGATATGCATGTGTTAACTATACATGTCACTATATACTGGTACAATTCAACTTCTTATTCAGGGATATTTAATGCAAGGTAATTATTGTGAAAATATTTTGCATAAATGCTGGCATGATAGATTGCGTTGAACTGACAGGTTGTTGTATGAAGGCAGTACATACACTGGTGTATAGATGTGGAAAAAAAGGATAATGCACCATTCCTGCAGCTTAATGCGATATTGATAAAAACTGTTCATACATGAAACACGACAACGCAAGATACGAGTGTCAGGGTCTGGTCGTGAAATGGTTGTTTCCAACGGCAAGAGCTACGATAACGAATGTTTACAAAAGACACTTGCAATCACCTTGCCAGTTTTTCTATAGGTATTTTTACGTCAAGAGCCTATCAACAGCGAAAGTACAGCCGCAGCTCTGTGCACACAGTAGGACCAGAGTTCACTCTCTACAACCATCTAGCAGCGGCGGTTATCACTTCATAGTATAGAAACAGTTTGTCTATATGTCTCTACTGAGGGCTGCGGGTCGACCAGTTAGAAAATGACTTACACTTCTTGATCTCCGGTTGGCTATAAATTGTAAAATATATATTTGATGTCTTCTCTCTTCCTAAATCATTTACCTCCAAACACATATACTTTGGCTGTGCTAGCGAAACATCGACCAATATTAATTATCAACGAATGTTTATTAATAATGTGTTAGGTAATGATTTTTATATTACGGAATTATTCCGTGTTATGTCCAGTGCGAACACCAAACCAACCTCTCAGTTGTCACCTGTCCTGGGTTGATATGATATCGTTCCAGTCACAAGATCAGTATACGCCCAACCGTGTGATCTACTTGTGTAACTCAGACTACTAATGTTATCTATGAGATAGGAGGGAAAAGAAACAAAAAGCAGACAAATAGTGCAGACTCCTTTTCAAGAAACGTGGAATGTCCCTGAAACAATTTTGGTGGAAGTAGTGATCTTTCCAAGCCGAATTTCCAAAGTAAACCCACCGTCCTTATGCTCCTCCTTGCACGACATATATCTTTCAACTGAGTCTTATGGTATCGTTAACCTGGTACGTTCGATCAACACTGTTGGTAAGGGAGGGAGATACTTATTGGTTTTTAGGACAAATTGTATAAAATGTTGCAGTAAAGTTAAACGTTCTTTCGTAGATTTACAGACGAAAATGCGTCGGGTGCGTTTCTGTTGTAGGCAAGGATATATGCTGTTCATTTACACTGTGTTACTTCGCGTCTCATGCAGAGATACCTTTAGCTGATATGTAACTGGCATTCGTCGAATTAAAATCGTATTAAACTTCAATTGATCTTATTTCAGTCATGCTTCACATAACATTTAACGATATTTAAGCAAACAGAGAAATACTTGTCATACGGGCTATATCCCGAACTGACTTTGACCTTGTCCACAGCGCTGCCAAGTTTACGTGCACAGCAAACTACATTCGCTACACTTTAATATCAGTATGGACATCTCTGAGATGTGCCTGCAATGCTAATCATCATCAATCGGCGTATCGCGAAGTGTCTGCGTTCAAGAATCACGCCACGAAAGAGAAAGGCTGACCATGATGTGAGCTGACAAATCTAGAAACATAATCGGGGCGAACCGGGATTCGAACCCACAATCATAGGTTTCTGTCGTGCCCAAGGGACGCAACTCTGCACAGCGAATCGCGGCGCCTTAGACGACTGGGCCACCCGTGCCCCCTATAGACCATGGAAGTGATCATAAACTTGTTATAAATGAAACAAGAGGCATGTGACTTTCTGACTTTAAAAGGGCAACAATACTCCAACTTTCTGATGCGACGTAAACTTTTAACTCACTTTCTTAGCAGATTCCAATAAGTAAGTCAAACAAGTCAAGGTTATAGTCCATTATATGGAAACTCTGAATCTGCGAAGAAAGAGCCATCCACTTTTCAATACTTTCAATATTGGAGTGTTGTTCTGCACTCGACAACGTTAGGGCTGAAAGATTAACACAGATATTGGTGAGGTCAGCTGTCACCTAATTTGGTGAAGTCCAAATGGTTCTGGATATATTGTTGCTGGTGGCAAAAGGGTTCAGGACATTTAAGATAAGGTTGGGGTGGGTCTGCTTGCATTTTGTCAAGTAATGCAAACACCTGTTTAGTTGTTTTGTTGTAGTTGTGTATGACGGCACAATGACAGAACCTGTCCGGACGTGCAGTATTGGGATACATTCCATGTGCTATAGGGAGAATTACGTAAGATCAAGTAAAACCTACGGTGAACAAAAGTTATTATAATTGCATGCACAAATCTAATTGTGTTGATAGACGTCATATAATTGTTCCAGATTCCTTGACCGTGTGCTTTGTTAGAATATTCAACAATTTTGCAAACATAACACTTTGGTTTTAGTTGTCATGACATGCTCATAATACTAATCTTATACATTAAGCAGGTTCAAAACATAATTCGAACCTCAACAGACAGGCAGATGGCTACTAGGGCTGAGATGAGTCCAAATTTACTACCCAGGTACCTGACTCCCTATTACCTGACCCTACCCAGGTACCCGACCCCCTATTACCTAACCCTACCCGGGTACACTACACCCTGGTCTGACCCGACCAGGAAACCTGCTGTAGGATTCGAGTAGGGTAGAAAATGCCTGATTAGAAATGTTTTACCGGAGCCCTTGCAAAACAACTTTCGATACATGTATATACGAACTGATTATGCATACACTGAAATTGACTGAAGCTTCACCTTTACTCAGATATATAAATGTCAGAAGGAATACGTGGATCGTCAGAAAGAAATAGGAAACATTAGTGATTTGTGGTGTAGCAATGGAGTTTTAGTGTTATTGAACATTATATCAAGTGACTAACTACGGGTCCGGGTAATCTTGTGGGTGCCAAGATCCAACCCAGGACCCACCTAACCCAGCCCTAATGGCTAACAAAATAAGTGTACGAGGTGAGATTCTATTTCCAACCTTTTCAGCTGTAAAGAGTAATATCAAGTGTATCCGGCGTAAAAAAGTACAGCTGACCAGCTCCAGTGGCAGAGAGAAAAGGTATGCCAGTTCATCGTGGCGTCATGGTAACCGATGATGTCAGACTGGTCTGCAAAACATTGTGACGCAACTTTAATGTAGCGGTACCTCCTGTGGAATCCAGTTATGGATTAAGAATTTACTTCAATATGTTTTTGCGTGCATGGACGTGTAAGTACATGACAGACAATGGTATAGGGTCATGTTTTTTATTTGTGAAAAATACATTCTGCTCTTGCTGAGTGTAAATGCTATTTATAACGATACAATGATTATGTGTGCGGTACAAACAAGTAAAAGAAATCGATTGAAGTTTTCTTTCAATGATTTCAATGATTTTATTTAAACTGGGGACTATGCATATCACGGGCGAGCCACCGCGAATTCCTACGACGTCACGCAAGTAGTTCGCTAGTGGGCGTGGGCTAATGTTATTTCAGGTTAACCAATCTATTGCAACGGACTCGCTTGCAATTTATTTATTTAAGAATTAACTTAACAATATTTATTGTGTTTGGAGGTATAAACCTAAAAAAAACTTGTGCGCATACCATGCGTTAATCTGTGTATAAAACGCAGAGTGTGCTAGCCCTCTAAGCACAAAAATACATTTTACAAGTCAACAAAAACAACTTCAAAGGCTGTCTATTAAGTCATTAACAAAAACAAAGAGCAGACGATTCAAAATATCACAATGTACAGCGCAATAGTGCAACACAAGATCTGCCAACTCTATTATCAGCCAGTCATGAAACAAATCCGAGGGTGTGCGTGGCCTAGTGTTTGTTCAGTTTATGCAGAGTAAACTAAATCTATTTTATGGTCTCTGATTATGGAGCAGAAGAACAAAAATAATTTCATTTTTAAACAAGCAATAACATGGAATCACTTACAATTTTTTTTTTGACAACTGAATAATGAATGTACTATGCCTACAACACTATTATAATCTGTATAGATATGGATACAATTGTAGAAGTGTTTCCACCGTACAAGTATAATTCAGGAGCTATTTGTTATTAAGTGGCTCACCATAACGTTCCACAAAGCAAACTTCATGGCATCACAAACATCCTACATGGAACACCCTATCTACTATCTAGTAAAGTAAAAACATTCTATGACCACGGTGCAATGGACCATGTACCTAACATGGTACTGAATGGAGCTGGGACGAGTCCAAATCTACAGCCCGGGTAACCAACCCGACCTGGGAACCCGCTGATGGTCTCAAGAGATTGGAACTCATTAGTGCCATTAAACAATATATCAAGTGACCACCCACAGGTCCAAGTAGTCATGTGAACACTTCAATAACAAGTAAACCATATCATATCTACTAAGAATAGAGTGAAGTATTGGTATCTCTTGAGCAGATTGAGATCAAACCACGGGCTTTTCGCCTTCCCGGCCGACACTGTACTTACTGGAAGACGGAGGCGATTTAATAAAGAGAACCAGGCTGCTAAACACATAATGTGATGTGTAAGGATGTGGAAATAATGTCTGTGGATACACCTTTGTATAATCATTCACACCCCAATCGGAAGAGTCCATTTTGAGTTGTTATAGTGAATTTAACGCCAGTGATAGTGATGACTGAAGTCATGCTATCATTGATATGACTACATGAAGTTTACTTCGTGTATCTGACCTTCATCACACACAAACAGTGTGTCATGTCTATCGACATACAATCCCCATGGATCACAGCCAATGTCCTTATGATCCGTGACACAATCCCCTGTCTCTGTCAGTCTTGTAACCTTACTGATGTCTGCAAGCAGGATGTCTCCTGTTGGAGAAGTTGAAATACCAAAAGGGTCGAGTGATCCGTCTCCAGTAGGGGCGTATCTCCACACAACATCTCCCTCTAACGTCACACATGTCACAGACTGCTCCCCCCTGTCAGACACGAGTATGTTGCCCTTGTTGTTGACACACATGTAGTCGGGGCAGGCAAACAGTGTCTCATTGTTGTGTGTAGTGACTGACCTCAGCACGTGTCCCCCCATGTCCAGGATATCAACACAGGCGACACCACCTGCTGCTAGAGATGAAGGTCTCAGAACAGCTAGACTGAAGTACGCCTTGCTTGTTGTGATGGTTGAGAGCAGCACCAGCTCTGGGGTCACTTCTACTGTTACAATCTTCGAGGAGTCAGGGACAGCAACCATCACCAGGTTCTCCTTCAACTGTGTTACACCACGTGGAGAGTTATCCAGGGGAAGTCTACTTTGACGCAGTTGATTGTTTCTAGTGTAGAAGGATTTCACACACTTGTTCCTTCTGTCAGTGACTACAACTGTCTGTATACCATCTACAATCAGGACTGTGATGTCACGTAGATCAGGCTCCACCTCATCACCCGCCATCTTCCCATCTATCGTGTCAACCAGCAGTGGAGACAGCAGACATGTGCCCTGATCCTGGTATGTGACGTCAATCTTCCCCAGCTGTAGGTCATCTAGGATGTGCTGGACGTTGTCAGTGTCAGGTGTGAACCTGATGTCTCCTATTCTCCGTGTGTCTTCTGTGTCTGAGTCCCTGACATCCCCCAACTCTACAGCCCCCGACTCCCAGGCCTGATACGCGTCATACAGGTCCATCTCACAGTCCGATACCAAGGCCTGGTCAATGAACTCACAATGTTGTCTGTACATCTGCATCTCAATCTCTTCAAGTTTAACATCTGCTTTAAGTTGCTTAGTTTGTTTGTCTGTAATATCCTTGACTTCATTCATCAGCTGTTTTTCTTTCTGCTTGATGTTAGCGATGGCTCTCTCAACAGCAGATTTGATGTGACTTTCTACTGCTACTTTGTTTTTCTCAATTCCGCTAACCTTCTTGTTTGTTTTCTGAACAATTGTGTGCTTTCTATGAATTTTCTTTGACAAATGTTCAGCGTTTTTTCTCAAGTGGTATTTCATTGTTGGCATCATTGACTGAATGGTAACGACTGACTCACATTTCCTGTGGTAAATAACACAACATGTCTGACACACAGCTTCGTTGCAGTCTTTACATACAAGCTTTATAACCTCATCCTTGTGCTCCCTGCACACGACCTTGCGCCTCCTCTTTACCTTGACCTCTCCTGAAAGGTCACAGATTTCATGGTCATGTGATGCTGGATTTGCAACATGCATCTTGGCACATCTCTCGCAGAGGGACACTTGACACTCAGAACACCATGAGGCTCCCGGAGTTGTCTCCCCTAACTTCTCACACACTGAGCAACATGAAGCGGAACCTGTAAGTGGACATGTCTATAGTTATTTGACATATCAGGACAATATTAATATAAATTAGAAGATTGAGAATCCAGGTAAAATCACCCCCTCTCAACTATTTTCAATGCACGAATAGGGCGGTGGGTGTAGGCTTGGAGTTTCAAGTGTTGGCTCGTCACGCCCATGGGTTTGATGTGTGAAGCCCCATATTGGCATGATTGACAGTGGCGTGAAACTGAACTCATTCACCCAGTTATGTACATGTAGTTTTAACAGGTACAATTGCACTTATAAGTGTACAGTTCTGATCACTATCATCACGGGCGGTAGGGAAGCCTTGTGGTTTAGGTGTTAGCCAGGTTTGATTCTCCACTTGAGTAAAATGTGTGAAGCCCATTTCTGGTGTCCCCCGCAGTGATATCGCTGGAACTTTGCTGAAGGCTGCAAAAATACTCACTCACTCACTCACTCACTCACTCACTCACTCACTCACTCACTCACTCACGCACTCACTATTATCAACCTGAAACATTCTATCATAACAAATACCCTTTTCATAAACTGCCATTTGTAGATGTTTTCCGATAATAATATTTTCAAGGGCTTTATGGATGATCTGATTATATTAGCATCATGTAAAACGATAATAATCAGCAGGCCAGTGCACATTGTCCCGACGTCAAAATATATTGTAAATATGTCTATGCCGCGATTACAGTTGGAGTCATGTTTGTAACAAATTAATATTTTTGTGAAGTCAATTGGTATCATTGAACATATTGTTAACAGCAATACTGTAATTATACTGCATGGTTAAACAAATAACGAGTACCCTTTAACATGCCTTCATTACAAACAGGATTCTTATTAATAGATTTCAGTTTGTGAAATGAATGTGTAATTTATAATATAATAAACCAATACCGGTTTTTACAACGTCAGCTTGAGTGTCAATAAGCCCCTGTATAATGGTGCTGGGTTTGATCTGTCCCGCCCACTCCTCCACTGGCCTGCTGGGGTGGGGGACCTTGGTATCTTGTCGACAGAAGGCACATGGGATCGTCTTGGACTGTATAGCATCTGGTCTTGTTTGGATGTATGCAGTGACACATTTCCTGCAGAATGTGTGATCACACCTTAGTGTACAGGGGTCTGTGTACAGTTCCTGGCAGATCACACAGGTGAGGAATTCTGTAACTTTCTCAGCCCGCGACGTCGCCATCTGTAAAACATAAATAACTGTTCACTTTTCGTAGAAATAATTTCAGCTGAAGTTGTTCCTTCTTTCTAATGGCGTTACATGTGTTTTGTTTGAGACAATAACATTTCTTGAGTGCGACTTCGGGCTAACCCTCCATATCAAGCTGACACGCGATGATATAACTGAAATACTGCATAACGCGGCATAACACCAAACACACTCACCACTAAGTATGCTGAAACGCCTCTGTAAACCCATGTCGAATGAGTAATTTACATATCATTTCTTGTCACAAAAGTAACCATATCGACCAATCCATAGTGCTACAGGAATAACAGATGCTACATAGCGTTACTTCATGTCATGCAAGGTGTTTCAGAAGCGTGTGTCTATGTATTTGTTTATACTATTGTTTCAATAAAATATGTTCCTACATTATAGTTTTTTTTATGAATTCTGTCAAAAGAACAAGCTCGATCGTTGTTTCAACACAATAAAAGATTTACCTTGAATAGATGAACCGAAACTTAATATATGAATATATTGTGATCATGTGAGATCAGGATTGATGTCAGCTTCACTTGTGTAGATGTGGAGATAAACTGTCGTCATTGTTTGAAATGTTCATTTGTTTTCATATTAAAAGCTAACTTTAAAACAACTACCAATAGGGTCTTGTATTGATGACCTGTAATCCACCTCCGTCAACACCAACCAAGCCTTGCTTTACTGATAATGGACACGCCCCCTCACAGTACAATACAAGGGAGGTAACTGTGAACGTTAGTATTCAGGACCAAGTCAACATGTCTTTATTGTGTCATTTTTACACCTCGACGAATGACTTCGTTTACCTGAATGTCAAACATTTGTAAAACCCATAACAATTAAAGAAATTTAAATCAATAAACTTTACATTTTTTTATTTTCTTGGGGCCAACAATTCCTACTTTCGGTTTCACTTCCTTTAATGTTTCGTGTGTTTTTAAGTTTAAATTTAAGAAACACAAACCTTATATAAGTTTGATGCTGTCGATGTCCTGAATATACAGGTATACTAGTTCTTCATGTTAACTGTGTGAGACTAAATTGTATGTCATGGATGCCTTGAAATAACCAAATCCCGCCGAGGTACACACCTGTGCCTACCTGTCCCTTCCGCATGACATACAGGGGAGGTAACTGCGAAATCGCGACTAGTGGTGATTCAAAAGCGATCAAATCTGATGACGACGTAGGTTCCTGGATCGAATCAAGGATGATTCTTATAAGGTCGAAAGAGATCGCACATTTCAATATACACACACAGTACACATTGTTAACAGTATTTATGTAATATCCTAAGATGTTTTACACATTCGTATTTGTACAATTATGTGCGAACATGTACACATGTAATGTTGTTTATAGCATTACAAGAAGTAAAAAGTTGGACAAGCAGCTATATGGAAGGTGTGGCGATCGAGATATGATAGATGTTACAAATAAGAAATATACCACAGATACAATAACTTTCTTGAAACGTAAATAACAATCTTACCAGTATTTCAAAGTAATCCGAACGGGCAAATCAACACACCGTCATGTAAACATCTTAAGCCCGAGAAACATGTAGGTGTTACACCAGTCTTACACCAGCAGGATTCCTATGGCCTCCGTGTGTTACAAAAAATAAATATTAAAAGTCATGTATACTGTTGTGGTCAGAAGCATCAGATCACTTATCGAAGTCACGGAGTGTAATGTTAGTATCAGATATGTTCACTGCATGCAGAATAATCTCTTGTTTCGTTTTACTTGAACACAAAACCCGCATATGTAGCACGTGCGATACCCTACAGGTAATCTTATACTTGTTTCCCTCAGTTCGTATGATTACTGATGTTTAGCCTCTGAATATAGCATGATAGCAATTACTGATTCAATACACGAGAATTAACGTATGCATTTACGTGTTTTCCTATTTCTTGATGATTTATTGATGTAATGATACATGGCCCTGATCGAGTTAGGATCTGTGCGATGAAGGAATATCCCTATTTACTTCTACAGGACGGTGTTCCTTTCCATATATCTATTGAGATAGTGTCATCTCAATAAGTAGGTATATCCTGGCTGAATGAGTAGTTATCTCACGATAGGCTGCGTTTACAAATACAAATTTACACTTTAGTCTGTGAGTGAAGAATGTAACCCTATGGGGACGTTACTATTGACATCTCATTGAGTTGCATTGTCATGCTGAAGGGTCACCCTTTGATGGACAGCTGTGCTTTAAAACGTGTTGATAAATATAACTATGGATTTATGCTGTATGTGTTGAATAATGATATCCTACTTCAATATCTCCTATGACCCTACAGAAAACTACTGAACACTCATTTATATATGTGTGAGACTGGAAGAAACTTGAAACGAAACAGCTGAGAAGCTAGCTAAAGTTAATTGTTTGTTTTAGTTGGCAACATGAATTCTTATATCAACCAAATAAGGATTGTAAAAGCATTCAAACATTTGTCTAAATTATCCCTGCATTCGCTGCATTCAGCAATATTCCAACTATATGACGTCGGCCTGTAAACAATCGAGTCTGTACCAGACAATCCAGTTATTGACATAATGAGCATCGACCCACGTCATTGGGATACGATGATATGCATCAAGCAACTAGCCTGACCACCCGATCCCTCGACAGTAACTGCACAAAATGTCCAATACCCTGGTGAGAATAAGAATGAGATCCCACTTTCAGATGAATATGTAACCATGAGATCCCACATTTAGATCAATATGTAACCATGCGATGACACATCTAGATGAATATGTAGGCATGAGATCCCACCTTTAGATAAACACGTCAGCATGAGATCCCATTTTTAGATGAACTTGTAAGCATGAGATCCCAACTTTAGATGAACATGTAGGCATGAGATCCCACTTTTAGATGAACATGTAAACATGAGATCCCACTTTTAGATGAACATGTAAGCATGAGATCCCACTTTTAGATGAACATGTAAACATGAGATCCCACTTTTAGATGAACATGTAAACATGAGATCCCACTTATAGATGAACATGTAAACATGAGATTCCTCTTTTAGATGAACATGTAAGCATGAGATCCCACTTTTCGATTAACATGTAAACATGAGATCCAACTTTTAGATGAACATGTAAACATGAGATCCCACTTTTAGATGAGCATGTAAAGCATGAGGTTCGACTTTTAGATGAACATGTAGACATGAGATGCCACTTTTAGATGAACATGTAGACATGAGATCCCACTTTTAGATTAAACATGTTAACATGAGATCCCATTTATAGATGAACATGTAAACATGAGATTCCTCTTTTAGATGAACATGTAGGCATGAGATCCCACTTTTAGATTAACATGTAAACATGAGATCCAACTTTTAGGTGAACATGTAGGCATGAGATCCCACTTTTAGATGAACATGTAAACATGAGATCCCACTTTTAGATGAACATGTAAACATGAGATGAACTTGTAAGCATGAGGTTCCACTTTTAGATGAACATGTAAGCATGAGATCCCACTTTTAGATGAACTTGTAAGCATGAGATCCCACTTTTAGATGAACATGTAGGCATGATATCCCACTTTTAGATGAACTTGTAAGCATGAGATCCCACTTTTAGATGAACATGTAAGCATGAGGTTCCACTTTTAATGAACATGTAAACATGAGATCCCACTTTTAGATGAACATGTGAACATGAGATGAACTTGTAAGCATGAGATTTCAACTTTTGATGAACATGTAAACACGGTTTGAAATTAATAACAATCGCAACTAAAATCTGAAGCATATTTATTTTCAAACAACTCAGAAAATGAATGTCTGCCAACATTTAGCTGATCACTCGCACTCCTTGTGGGATAAAGTTTGCAATAGTAAGTAAGGGATAAGTAATAAACATCTATCACGTCAGATACAATATATTTGTTAATGGATGCAGGCGGGTTTTGTGTTTTAAAATACAGATTCAAGTAAACTCCATCAGTTACTTTTTATCCTAGTAAAAGCTGCTCTACAAGTCTTCCTGTTTCGCCTGCACCTTTCTCAATCGTTGTTTTGTGGCTGTGTACAGGTCGTGAGACGTGATGTTCTCAGCCCTGTCATAGAACTGGCGGAACACCTGCGCGTTCATATGGTAGAATGCCAACTCATGCTTTCGGCGATGGTCGGGGACGATTTGGCCGTTTTCGTCAAATTTCGGTGCACGTAAAGGACTTTCGCGACAGGCTTCCCGGCTTTAGTTGCATCAAGCGCCTTGTGAAGTTTGTCACAGAGGAAACACTCATATCCTGAAGCAGCCTTCCCAAAACGTCCACCTGCGTACTCCCCTGGTGATATCCGGGCGAGTTCTGACTTCAGCGTTGGATTTGAAATACCCGTGTGTTTGAATTGGAGGTATGACTCATACTGTTCGTCGTTCCGATCAAGCTGGTTGATGAACGCAGCCAAGTCTTGAATAGTGTCAAAGTCTTCGACCAGAATCGCTGATTTGGTGGATGGTAAAAAGTCCTGAAAGTACGTTTTAAGTAGAGCTGATTTTAAATTGCATTTATTTGAATAGAACAAACTACAATCAGAAAAAAAAGATGTATAATAATTTCAATTCTTTCCGAGGCTGAGAGCTAAGATTCTAGTCGACTACAAGTTTGTTCAATTCATGACAAATTTATTTTTAAATTCCTTTCACGCTGTTAATGCCACAGTACACATTTATAACATGACCATAAAACAGAAATGATTTATCGGCGCAGACGCACTTTAATATTCATTCTTTATTCGTTAGTTTATCTTTCTTCGTTAGTTTTTCTCATTCAGTTCTTCAGATAATAGAAACAGATCACAATGGGGGTTCACAGTTTCAAATCATATATTAAGTTACTGTATTATTGTGTCTGGATGTGTCCTCGAAAGTTACATGAACATTTAGGCGTATATGCATCAAACGTAGAACCGGTGATTCTGAAATTGTGGTTGAAAAATAATCCTGATGATAACAATGGTTCAGCTACAATCTTTCTTGATTGAACCCTCCACCTGTGCATGGATGACCAGCTACTCCGTTAGGCTGGAGTAACGACCATCAGTTGAGTAGCTTAATGCAAAACGTTTTCATTCATCCGTTACACGAGACGATAACTATATTGAAGACCAAAGCTTACCCTCTGCCCTATCGTAGTCGTTTATTGTATCGATGTTGTTTAGAACATGTAATTATGATTATGCCTTTACATCTACGACTTACGACTTTGTGTGTCTTGGGTACAGCCTAAGAAAATATATAACTACTTATATACCCTCACGAAAATGCCACCACACAAACAAGACATGTCACCCATCTCACCGCGAGTTTTTGTCTCGTGGTCCAAGCATAAGAACATTTACTCTCACCGAAATGTGTCCACACACAGAAGTCATCTCACCCTGATTGTCGGCGAGCCGAGCACAATAGGGACAGTTCCCACCTGTAGAGGGCGCCACAACTTCTCTGTGATGTAGTCGTCACAGATGGCGTTCTCAAAAGCTATAGCAAACTTGTAGCGGGCGACAAGTCTCAAAAAGTCTGGCTTCAAGAAGCCTGCTATACCGTCGAGATTCTTGAATCTTTATGCAACAGAAAGAGAATGGTTACAGTTTAATAGTTGCAAAGTGCTGTGCTCTTCATTCTACACTGCGTGCATCTTAACAAAATAGATAGACTTGCCCAGTCTACATATTGATAATATTGAGTGCATGCAGGTCGGAAATGTGGTAAAAGATTATGAGCTGTACTGACCATGCTATATATTATGATAACAAATTAACATTGTGTTAAAATGATAACGAGCCCAGTTACATGTATGACATGGCCTAAACAACGGATTCCATTTGCCTCCAAAATATCATAACATATATGACTAAGTGAAAACAGGCTCGGGATACATGATGTGTGTGTGTGTGTGTGTGTGTTTGTGTGTGTGTTTGTGTGTATGTGTGTGCGCGTTTCTGTGTGTATGTGTGTGTATATGTGTGTGTGTGTGTGTGTGTGTGTGTGTGTGTATGTGTGTGTTTGTGTGTGTGTATGTGTGTTGGGTTGATAATATTCGTCGAAAGTGCATATTCCCTGTGTATG